AATCAGGCTAGACCTGGCTCCGGGCTCTCCAGAAGCTCCCTGCAATCCTCTTCAAGTCGCCATCTCCGCTGGCCCTCATCCCTGCTTAGGATTCTTTCTGGCCTTTCAGAAAACAACTGGCAACAATTTAGCAACTAGTTTAGATCTCTTCATTTGGGCAAAGAATCCCCCCTCGCAGGGGGCCCCTGGTTGGAGCAAAGCAAGAGTGCCACCTGGTGGGACATTTGGGTCACTGCCAACAATGTTCCCTGGGTTGGGGGGGGGGGTGTTCCAGCTACATCAAGGGCCCACGGGTGTCCCCACTGCCTGGGACCATTCCTAGACAGCTACAAGAACTCACTCAGCACGGTCCAGGCACTGACTGCATGAAGTTCAAAGTCTTACTCAAATGCAAGTTCGGGACTTTAAAGTCTTGCCTTCTGGGCTCCAAAACCTGGTGGGATTAGGGTGAGGTAAGAGGCAGGCCATCCACTCAGGACCAGGACGGCATCTCATCTTTATTAAAAATTTTGAAACTTTTCATCATGGATTTTTTTTTTTTGCATTGATTTCGACTTTTTAAGATCACGTTAAAATATTAGTTACCTTAATTGCCAACTTGGAAGCACCCCACCCTTGTGTTTTAACACACTGCAAACACCCCTTGCCACACCCCCGAATGGGCTCTGCCAAAGTCCTCCAAAGAAGGATTCTGTTTCCTTTCAAAGCTCTGTCTGTACAGGAGTGACACAAAGCTCCTGAGGCTTCCTCGCACGCCAGCCTTTGCTCTGTCCTGTCTGACAACAGTCTTGGTGTCACCCCACTCCTCCCTACCCAACTCACCCACTCAAGTCAAAAAGAAAGTACTCAAACCGGGGACACACTTCCGTGTAACTGCTGAATAACGGGACCAAACACGTGTGCCCCTCCCTGACATCACAGATGTCGACCCTGGAGCAGGGAGCAAACCTGCCTGTGTTTCTGCCGGGTCCCAGCGCACCGGGCCAGGAGTCTGAGCCAAGAGCGCCTGTCCGCACCGCGTGCCCTCACCTGACCCTGGCCATGCCCAGCTGAGGATCTGCCTTGGGACTTCACTTTCTCAACAATGTCGGAGCTGAATGCCCACATCTGGCCAGATCACCATCAAATTCTGTGTCTACCCTGGGTCATGCCAGGCCCCTCCCTAGTCCACACCAGAGGCTAGGCAGGAAGTTCTTCACCTGGAATGGATGAATGGGTTGGGATGGGGGATGGTTCTGGAAGTCCCTGAAATTTCCGGCCAAATGTTGTCCATTTTCTAGGGAGATGGTGTATCACTTTCTTCCCATTCTCCAAGGAGCCCTTGATCCCATAGAGAGTAAGAATCACAACAGTCTTTATAAAGTCTAGAAAGAGCCTCTTCCCATCCCTGGCCAGGGAAACAAGAATCAGTGGCCTGATCTGCGGTCCATCAACAGTTGGGCCATCCTGATGAAGGTCCATACGTTTTTCAAAATTCAGAAGAAGGAAAAATTCCTCTCTTTCAATAAACTGGAATTTCAGCCAGATCCTGAGAACTGGAGAGTCCCTGCTGCGTCCTTTGTCTCTCCCTCTGGGCTTAATATCTCTTCCCCCCCTTTGCCATTGTTCTTAGGCAAAGTTCTTTAGCAAGATGGGGACTCACTTCTAGAAGCTTCTAGAATATCCGTCCACTCTCTAGGCCTCCTTGACTCATCCTTCCAGATCAGCTTTCTCCACATTTCCCAGCAGGGCTTGGCCCATCACACACTCCCGCTATCCGTGCAGATGACTTTTCTAGACTGATTTGCATATTTCTCTCTCCTGCCGGCAAGACCATGAGCCCGGGAGGGCAGGAGCCCAGTCTTATTCATTTCCTATCTCGTGCACCTAGCACAGAGTCCCTGTGTTTGTGTGGCTGGGAGAGGGGGGAGGGGTGTTCAGTGAACACACACACCCTCCATGCCTTCATTTCCTTGATGAGGAGAGTGAGGCTCTGGGGGACATTAGCATGCCCTGAGACTGAGCCACATGGGGGTGGAGGGAGGACCCCCCCCAGGAGCCACACCCGCGCCAGCTGCAGGCCTCCGGGCAGCTGTGCGCTGAGGTCACGCAGACAGCATCCCGCACCACCCTTCGGTGGCCGACACGCACGTCACCTTGCCTCGCCTTCTGTCTGCTGCTCCTGGGTTCAGAGCACATAGCAGGGAGACGCAAATCAAAGCGACATCAGGGGCAAGAAAGCAGTCACTGGCAGATGCCAATTGCCCCCTCCCTTGGCGGGGTCCGGGAACCCCAAATCTTCTCTGGGATTCTCTGTCATGAGCATAGTGAGGACCAAAATGAGAAACTGCTGGACTCTTTCAAACTTACTTCAACAGCAGGATAAAGGGAGCTGAATTTCATGCCCAGAAATGCATTGTTCATGAACCCAAACAGTCAGTTTTCCTTGGCTTCCTCCCTGCCAGAATAAGATTCATGAGACGTCTGATAAAATCTCGGGCAGGCCGCTCGGAGTTCTGCTCGTCCCAAACACATTTCAGACACTGGAAAGAGAGCTGGTGGGGAGGGCGGCCTCCCCAGCTGGTTTTGTTCCTGCCCTGAAGTGGGGGGAACGCCTCAGAGGAAATTCGTAGGCCCCAACACAGCTGTGGTCGTTACTAAATCATTAGATTTGCCACAAACAAGATAAAAATTTCGAACAACAAAGAGGACTTTTCCGTGGTCTGCCGAATGGGGTTTCTTATTGTGTTTTGGTTCCCTCTGGGGGCAGGGCTGGCTGGCCGGGTTTCCTCACACCCCACTGCCTTGGCCAGAAAGCCACAGGACACCCCCCACCCCGCCGCGGCCTCTCCCACCACTGCTCCTGCTCTCCTGAATGGGGCAAAGGGTTTGGCTCGTTCATTCTTTTTTTTTTTTTTTTTTTTTTTAAGTGTAGACAAATCCGGAAAAGACTCAGGGTTTTGAGTCAATGTTTCGTGAGCAACAACCTGACCTTCTCTTGTCCGCTTCTCAGAAGTACAGGTTTCTTCTCTGAGGAACACAAAAGCCTGCACAGGAAAAGAGAAGAGTATCCCAAATTCACAGCTGGGAAAAGGGAAGTCACTTTACTGTTTGTCCTCAATGGGCACCTCGTTCGAATTCTCCGCCTCTTCCTGACGTCTGGGAAATCAGCCACTTGTCCCTGATTCCACAGTTTTCTATGCTGTGCCTGTCTTCTGCATCACCCTAGACCTCAGCCTTCTTTCTGCTCCCTTTTGTACCTACTAAGTGTATAATAAATATTACTGACTGATAGAAAGCCTGGAGCCAAATTAAAGTTGTGAGGGTTTTTATAAAAACATGAGTCATGGGATGCCTGGGTGGCTCAGTCGGTTAAGCCGCTGCCTTCAGCTCAGGTCATGATTCCAGGGTCCTGGGATCAAGTCCCGCATCCAGCTTCTCTCTCCGCCTCTGCCTGCTTGTGCGCACGCTCTCTCTCTCTCTCTCTCTGTCTCTCTGATAAACAAATAAAATCTTAAAAAAATAAAAACATGAGTCATTTAGAAAGTATCACTATAGCCCAGACCTGTACATCATGTTTATCCTCACTGCAATCCTACAGGGGTGGGGTTTCTTTCCATTTTACAGATGAGAAAACTGAGGCTCAGAAGGATTCTGGGAGTGCAAACTGCTTCTTATTGGTGTGGGTAGAATTCCAGGACGGGCTCCTTTGCAAAGCTGAGCTCATCACCTCTTTGGACTTCCCAGGGTTTCAGCGGATGACCCAGGGAAGCTTTCAGTAACCAGGTCCTAAGGGATCACGACACTGTGTAAGACATGTCAGGGCTCAGAACAGAGAAAGGTTGACTAGCACGCTGAAGTCGTTCATGCTTTTCCTGGCAGAGTGGCACAAACTGCCCAGATCAAGCCCTCATTCCCCAAATCCTGCCCTTTCCTCCTAACCATGGCCATCTGTCCACTCCCATCCCACACTGAGTGGCTTTCAGGCCAAAATGTCCTTTGTCTGCTCCCCTCATTAGCCCCGAGCTGGGAGTGTGGCACAGCATGGTGGTTCTGAGGATATGTGTGACTGCCGACACTTGCCCCAGTAGTGCTCATGGCGGATATCCCTGAATTGATCCCAATACTCTTTGCTAGAGAAGATAGACCAGACCTCAGAATCCTTCTCAATACAGCATTCCAGGCAGACACCACCAATCCATCAGCATTGTCCTGAGATTAAGCCTGTCCTTATTGGCATAGCAAATGATCAGCTGAACTTAATTTCTGTTCCCTTCTATCTTTCCTGCCTGCCTTCCCCAGTGCTTCTGGGATGGATAGAGGGGTGGATGGGTGGATGGAAGGAAGGACAGATGGGTGGATGGATGGATGGATGGATGGACAGACAGATGGAGGGGTAGATGGATATGGTAGATGGATGGATGGATGGATGGATGGATGGATGGATGGATGGATGGATGGACAGCCAGGTGGATAGATAGATGGATAGATGGACAGATGGATGGACAGATGGACGGACAGGTGGATGGATGGACAATGGATGGATGAAGGGAAACTGAGTTCTCACCTTACAAGGAGCCCTGGTTCGCACCACTCCTAATTCTTCTGATTCCACTCAGTGCTGACCCTTCTTTGACAAAGCATGCTCTTAGCATGTGGCGTTTTTTTACAGGAACTGGTGAGATTCCTGGGTCATCCTGAGGCCGCGGAGGATCCTCAGCGTCAGCACTTTGTTTCTCACTCAGTCTCATTTCCTCCCCCTCTAACATATGCCTGAGCTTAAAAACATCCACTCATCCCATACTTCCTCCTTCTTTTTAAAGCTCAGGCTGACAAGAGAAATTTCTTCTCCCACTCACCTTTTTTTTCTTTCTTTCTTTCTTTTTTTTTTTCTGTACAGAGAAGAAAAAATACTTACAATTCCACCATGGGGTGCATAGGAATGGCCAATGATTAAAAACTCTTCCGTGTCTTTGGAGCAATCAGTATCCTTAACCCATAACTGCCATTAGCTGCCCAGAGGTTCTGAATCATCCTATGATTTAGCTGTGGATGGGCAAGCATGTTTTTCCAGGGCTTTTTAAGAAGCCCTGGCTTCTTAAACCAATCAAGTTATGGTGTTCTCAGAATATTCTTTCCCTAGCAAAATACCACTTAGTGTTCAAGAGGAAGAAAATGTTAAGAAATGTTTATTCAAGCCAGTTTGAAGGGAATAAAATAGCTCTTATAAAGCAACACTTTGGAGATTTGAGTACAAGTAAATCAGCAGCATATGGATTGTGTGCTGTTAAAACATGCTTTTGTTTCCTCAGGAAGGAAAAAAAAAAACTTGGGAAAAAATATCTTCTATAAAATGACATATATTGGAAAATAGCTAGGGATTTTTAAGAAAACCAAAATGTAGCAGGGATGGCCCAACTCTAGTTCTTAATATCCTGGGACCAATTAGGGAGTAAAATTAGGTGGTAAAATTATTGTACTATTTCTTAATCCAAGCTGGAGATGACATATTTCTCAGATAATTCTAAAAAAAAGAAAAATTACATATTGAGATTTATATGAGATGAGGTTTTGTTTCATTGTCTTTGTTTTGACAGTCTGATAATAATTCTTTTCACTGGACTCACCATCTGGGAAAGTAAGAGTGTGGAGGTAAAGATGGGGCCCTAGAATCAGACTGTTGGTTTGAATCACACCTCTGCCCCTTGTGCCATGAGATCTCCACAAGGCATTCACTGGTCAGTGTGCCCTAGTTTCCTCATCTGGAAAGTGAGAATAAAAAGAAGACGAATTACTACACTTACTGCCCGGGGAAAGCGCTTGGATGCACAGTCAGTTCTCAGTAAATGTTAGCTGGTGTTACTCATCATCTCACCTAGAATGCTAGCCCACTAGACAGCTCTGTGCCTCAGTCACGCACATCAAAACTTAACAAACCTGTAGGTAGGCTGACAAAAAAATGAAATGCAACTGGGGACCTAACAACTGACTGTAAAGAGATAAAAAGCATTAGGAGAGAATACAATGAACAACAGTACACCAAAAATCTGATAATTTACATGAAATAGCGAATTCTTAGAAACACACACAGATCGCCTAAACTGACTCAAGAAGAAATAGAAACCATAACAGACCTATAACAAGTAAAGAGAATGAATCAGTAATCAAACCTCCCTATGAAAATAAGTCCAGGACCAGATGTCTTCACAGGTGAATTCTGTTGGATATTTAAAAGAAAATTAACACCAATCCTTCTCAAGCCCTTCTAGTCACTCATGCCCTCCCTGACCCTTCTCTATAACTATGGTTTCACTGTCCCACACACAAATATGCATTCCCTCGCCTCAACTTATTTTGCATCATCACTTAATGTATCATATACTCATTTTCTTAATTATTTATTGACTCTCTTCTCCCTCTAGAACATGGGAGCTCTATCAGAACAGGGACTTTTTTTCCACTATTGAATGCTCCATGCCTCAGAGAGTGCTTACCACACAGTGGTGCCTATAAAACTGTGTTGAATAAATAAACTGTCTAATTATTCTTTTAGTGAAAGAGAATAAAGAGAAATCTAGAGAGGGCCTGGGTACTGCAGAACTCTAAGATCTAGCTGACTAGAACAACATGAGCCTTCAGAAAAAGATCACCAAGAAAGTGTTGTGTCAGGAAAACAAAGGGAAATGAGATTTCTGAAGAGCAGGGAACTGGTCAGCAGTGTCAAATAATGCTGAGAAATCAAGTACAATGAGAACCAAAGTGTCTACTGGACTGAGTTGCAAAAGACTGAATGACCTACCTAGCGAGAAGCATTTGGGGGTATCAAAAAGCTAGGAGCCAGAGCCCAGGCTGTTCTGAGGGACAGAAGAAGGAAGCAGCACATTTGACAACATTTTGAAAAAGTTGCTTTATTTTTTAAAAAGATGATACAGATGGAGCACCTGGGTGGCTCAGTGGGTTAAAGCCTCTGCCTTCCGCTCAGGTCATGATCCCAGGGTCCTGGGATCGAGTTCTGCTCGGCAGGGAGCCTGTTTCCCCCACCACCCCCCCACTCTGCCTGCTTCTCTGCCTATTTGTGATCCCTGTCTGTCAAATAAATAAATAAAATCTTTAAAATTAAAAAAAGATGATACAGAGATAAGGAAGTTGCTAGAGAGGGCACGAGTCAATTGAGGATATTGTCTTTAAGTGGCCAAGATCTGTAAATGTCTAAAAGCCTATGGAAGGAACTCAGCGGGGGAAAAGAGAAGGTGAAAATACAGGGGAAGGCAAGGTTCCCAAAAGGAAATGTATGGGATTGCTAAAGCCAGACCATAGGACTGACTTTAGCAAGGAACAACCTCTCTTACACCCTCAGACTGGAGGAAAACAAGACCCAGAGAGCCCACATGACTTACCCACCAGCCCAACCAGGACCCAGGTCTCCGGTGTTCTTTCTCCTATGCATATTTTTTTCTCTCTTGCTCAAATTAGAATGTTCAAGGGGCAGTGAGGAGGGGGGAGGGATAGAAACCAAAACTGGTAAGTAAAAAATGCTGACTGCAATAGATTTTGTCACTGAAGACTCTCACAGGGAAGGTACTTCTTCCCACTCAGGAGCACCCTTGCCTGCCCTGTGAGCCCCGTTAGCGCTAAAGAGCATCTCCCTGAAGCCTCACTCACCCTTCCCCGGGACAGCGGAGGGACTTACCTAACTGGGGAATCTGTGAGAAGAAATGGAACATGCACAGCCCAGCCCCTTCCTGTGTCTTCCTCTTTTTAGGAAATACCAGAGAAAAGATGATCTAGGTGGCTCTCAAACCCACAGCCAGCATAGCAGGAAAGCTCTCCACACCTACCCTATGTGGAGGCTAGCAGTGGTCGGACTCTCTCCAGGGCCAGATGGGCAGGTCCGGCCAATATGTGGGCTCAGGTTTAGGAAGTCCACGTGCCCACAGATATGTTCGGCTTTCTCTAATGTCGCCCTTATCAATAGGAAAGATGCTATTTTGGTGTCTCTCGGCCTCCCTGCTTTGTTTTTTTGCTTTTTCCAGTGGATTCAGAAAAAGATGAGGAAGAAGGGAGGCAAAGACTCAAACAGAAATGATGCTATTAAAATCGGCCTGCAAAACTTGATTCTCAAAAACATTCTTTTTAAGCTATAAAGACCAAAGAAACATATTTTCTGATAAAATTTAAAAAATGCAAGTGCATTCTTTTCAGCAAAGAACACTCAGGGGGGGAAGAGGAGAGCCTGATTGCTTTCATGGATGTGTAAAACCCAAAGGACCTGCTTTCTTCATTCAGTTGGATCAAAGTATGAAATCACAGTTGATCATTTCTTCAGCTCTTTCCAGGATTCCACTGTTTTCTGTCTGGAAACAGCCATGGCCACATCCACAATTTCAAACTTGAGTAAATGACCCAGAATCATCACAACATGCAGAGAGGTTTCATGGCAATGACCGTTCTGTGAGGGTTGGGGGTCGGGTAGGGAGAGAAACCTGCCAAGGTACATTCTTCGTTGATGAGAAAAATGCATCAACGATTATAAGATTAGGTGTTTGGCACTGTTCTGAGCCAGGGTTCTAGTTTTTCGACTCACTCCTTTCCAACATTTTCAGTGCCAAAGAGTTGATCCTAATAATCATTTCAGAAATAGTGACCATCACCCTCTCCCATGACTTCGGTCTCCATATTCCAAATTGGAAAGATATTGGCCTTGACCATACAACTTCTCTCTGCTGCTCCCAAGCTGCTATTTGGAAATTTACCACGTAATGGTTTGTTCTACCAGGGAAGACAAAGTTTAGCAGCAAAATCCCTCTTGCAATGTTTCTTGAAAGTTATTTTAAGAAACAAAAGGTCTGGGGATTATTCAAGGACTTCATGGCACATCAGACTCCGTGGGAGGTTGGAAGTCAAGGGTGGGAATGTGGGCAGTGACTAAGGCAGCTGGTAAAGGCTAGGCCGAGGCGGAAGGAGACTCAGAGCAGAGACATGTGGTCTGTGCTCTACCCTTGTCCTGCAGCCAATGGCCTCCAACCATCTTGCATTCTTGCAATGGTTGTGCAAATTCAGAGCTCCCAGGGAGAGGATCTAGCCCCTTTGGTTTCTAAGAGCAGTCACTTTCCTCTACCCCCTGCCCTCCAAAAAAACAGCCTATGGTGAGAAGCTCCCTACAAGAAAGGAGGAGTGCTATTGGAGGGGTGGGATCAGACTCTGGAAGCAGAGCTAGACGAGTGATTCCCCATGCCTGGGCCCCATGGGGGAAGTCCTGTGACCGACAGCTCAGTGACTTGATTTATCCAAGATGGTTTATTGCACGGTGATCCTGAGAGCTCCCATTCACCCAAACACCAGTCACTGCATAGCGATTAAGACCTGAGGAGCGAGGCATCAATGGACAGAACACAGGCCCTGCCTCCTCAAATCATCCGCCTTGAATTACGGGGCACTGAGTTCACCCTTGCTGTTATGAGCCCTCAGTGGCTGTAAAGGGTCCCATCCAAACCTCAGCACCGGTCTGACTGAAAGGATCCGCTGGCCTGAACTTGAAATACAAAGGACTGAGATCTCTAAGTTCAACTCATTTGCAAATGAAAAAGTGAGCTCAGCTCTGCACAGACTCAAGGAAATGCAGGATGTGATCCTGTCACTGGGGGCCGGATCACCAGCCGGCGACCCTAAGGGGTCCACAGAGGACAGCACAGCTTACTGGAAACTTTGTACCTACTGATATCGGCACACATTCATGCAAACAAACATTCCGTTTGGTAGACCCTTTTGTAAAACTAATAATTTTACATTCCAAGAATGAGCTGAGCTACCTAAAGTGTGTAGTGTGTGTGTATGTGTGTGTGTTTTCACTAGCAAGTATGAAAAAGAGTTAACTTTTTCCCCTTGTTTTTCATGGGGACATCTGGGCCTCCATGGTGCTCAATGTCATGGAAAAATCACAAGCCTTGGGAGGTTCCCGGTCTAATACTCTCAGTTGTTTATCTGTGTTCATGGCCTTGGAGAAGTTTCCTAACTTTGTCAAGGTTTGCTTCCTCCCTTATAATATTAAAATAATAATAATAATATCTATCCTTTGTCATGCACTTACCATGTGCCAGGCACAACAGTGAAAATTTATTTCTACGATGCTGAAAATTTTAAGTGTATTCTATAATATAATTTTTTCAATAATATATATAATACATATAATTCTATGATACAATATTTCCCCAAGTAAGAAAGTTTATTTTTTTCTTACACTGATTTTGCAAATGAAGAATGAGACCTAATGCAGCTAAATAATTTGCCTAAGATCATGAAGCTAGTAAGTGTGGCAGAGGCAGGATTTTAACCCAGGTGTGTCGGACCCCAGAGCCCCTATTCTCCAGCACCTCATTCTACTACCTTCTCACAGGGTGTTTCTGGCAGGACAGGTTCACTTGCAAGTGACAAAAAACCCTCAGCATTCTCCTTCACAATCATCAGGGACTGCTTTACCATTTCCAGTGACTTCCACCTCATGGTCCAAGATGGCTGTTCACATCCAGCCATCATGTCCACATTCCAGTTGGCGCAGAAAAGAAGAGACAAAAACGGGGCCTGTTTCTTCCTGTTTAGGACACTTCCTAAGAATTGCATGCAACGCTTCTGCTTACAAAACAGTGACCACACAGGCACGTGTGGCCACAAAGGAGGCTGGGCTCTGTGTTCTTCTCACAGGACTTCATGTGCCTGATTAAACAAATGTGGTA